TACATGTGTGCTGTCGTTTACGACTACAAATTTTAAAGACCATATTTTTCTACTTTTGATATAAAAATCAATCGATAAAGTACAATGCGTTGCACAAAATCTAATTTTATCATTAAAAAGTCATTCAATCAAATTTGTTTTTCAATAAAAACAAATTATTTACTTCCAAATTTGTATAGCACTGTGTTTTGTTATCGATTGTGATGCCCGTTGAGCCCCACATTTATTGCGACATTTCCCATGTAAAATACTGACCACATTAAATTCTAGCAATAAATAAATCAGAAATAATAACAAAAGCCACGATAACACTTTCCATAATTATATTACGCAAGTATGTCGGACAAAGCATTTGATTTATGACGAATCGGTAGCCGCTATCAATATTGTAATTCCCATAATATCTATAAATATGTAAGTCCTATATTGGACTCATTTTTAAGACAATTCAATTTATTTGAGGTATTCCCAAAAACAAAATAACAAAAAAAACAAAAAAAAAGATATAAAATAAATATCAATTTGCTATCAAATTGGTTTTAAAGCTCATAATTAAATCACGTTTGATATCATAAATATATGAGCTCATCATAGTCGGGCGAAAAACTAGAAAATTGCCGACAACATTGGTTGAAGAGTTGGAATAATATAGATAAATTTAACTTCTGTTTGAGACGGGAAATGGACAAATCCAAGTATACGATTCGGCTTAATGCTTTAATCAATATATTGTCCCATAAGACCACTTGCTGTTTGCCCAATTTTTGGCCATAAATATGCGTCTTTTGCTAACAGTAAACCAATTGCGAAGCAACTCAATAGCCAAAAGAAAAGGACAATTTCAGCGGAAGTCAAAGAAGTTGTTTTTTTCTGCTTCTTTTCTCTCTTTTTCAGCTTGGGCTTAGCTCACTTGTCACTCTGTGGGATATTGTCCTTACACTACATCCGAAGCTCTGTCGTCGGCCCATTAAATGATTTTGCGGTGATTTGTGATACACATTTTGGCAGCTCCTGCTGCTGTTGTTGCTGCGGTCTTTTGAGTCAGTTATATGTCATGCTTTTGGGCACCTTTTTACCGCCGTCAAAGTCATGATTTTGGGTAGAGAACTTTTTGAAATTTTACTTAACAAGTTTATCAATAAGGCAGTTCAAGTAAATATCATTAGAGAAAGTAGTTAAGAAATTTCAGAAAAATGGGAGGAGGCGAAAGGGTTGAAAGTTAAATCCTTGAATACATAATTAAATTTCTTTGTCTGCAGGAATACAAAAAAAGTTGTTTTCATCTCTATAAATCATTTAATCAAGATATGTTAAACAAAATTTCCTCATCGATAAGTATGTTTATAGATTCTTAGTTAAACAAACGAAAATGAATGTGTTATAGTATATGAAAGTAAGAAGAAAAACAAATAGAATAAAGAATGAACATGAAATAAATGAAATAAAAAATTACAATATAGATCTATATATTCAAACGTAGAACGAATTGTTTTGACAAGGTCGCATAACATTATTGTTGTTCTTATCTATTAGAATTGTAAATAAACCAACTTTTGTCTTAGCTGCGTGCCACTTTATACCAAGTCAAGGATAAATAATATTTAATTGCTTTGCATAGGCATTTTATGACCTCTTCCGCCCCCAGGGCAATGAATCCTTTCTTAGAGTCAGATAATTCAGTCGCTCAAATGCTACGGATTACGGAAGGTTTGACTGAATGCCTTTAAATGGTAAAATATAAATAAAAATATTTTACACTGAGAGAAAAGGTTGCATGTTTTATGTTCTTGAACTAATTTAATATATTAGTGGTATATAGGCAAAAAAAAAAAAATGTCTATTGTAATTCCGAGCACTCAGTGTAGACCTTCTGCGCAGTTTTAGGTTAAATTCAGTGCACATAAAGACGCCAGGCATATGGAAATTGTTTTCCAAATTGAATTTCACTGATAAATTGTGTTTGTTGGCAGCTGCAGTGCTTCATTTTGACCAAGTTCCGTTGCAGAACTTTGCCGTCTTGGCTGGAGAACCACATTGAACTGGTTTATAATCCGCCCGCAACCGGCTATGGTTGCATGTGTTGGGAATTCGCTCATGATTGCTGCAGGTTGGCATCTTTGCAATTGGCTTTGATTCGCTTGGAAATGAATCACATTATTATTATTATCATTATTAGAAATGTGGGGGAAAACTATTGCATGCCCAGCCGGAGCAACACATCGTAATTGTCTCGGCGCGTGTGGCTATCGATTCGGCCTGGCCATAAGGTCAAAGTTTGCTTCATTTGAATTTGGCTTTTAATTCATATGCATATATATATATTTATTTATCGATCTGTTCATATAGTAACACACAGCTGCCGCTTATAGTATGTGCAGTCGAATGCATTTCTGAAATGCATTTTGAATATCTATTTTTCTTGCTGCTGCAAAGACAAACATTTTCTTGGTAAGCGTCCAAAAAATAAATCCGTCTATTGGCCATAAACAAATGGCGTTTTGAATATTAAAATTGCATTTTGTATACCCTAGAGCCGTTAAATGGCTAAGAAGTGTAATAACTACCAAATGGATAAGAAATTCGTGTGTGAGAAAAATTATACGTAATACAAAAAGATTCTATATATAGGCATAATTTTCTGTGAGTTTCAAGTACCGAAATAAATATTTGTTATATAAAAACATACTTCTACTCTACTCTATTATCTCACTCTCAGTACAGAGTATCTAGCAACTATATATGACCCACTTTCTCGCCTGACCTTTAAATGTTTTCTTTTTTGCCATTTCGAACCTGAACTTGAATTTGGCGCAGTCTGGACGCATGACCAACGGCCACAGACGACTAAATTCTGTTCAAAAATATTTGCAATTTATATGAAAGCAGAAAAAAAGCAAAACGAATGCAAAAACAAAAAGTCATAGTTAATATTCAACAGTTGAACGGATACGTCAATTCCATTTAGCGATCAAGTACTGCCCCCAGGTGCCACATCACAGACCATAAATCCATAAATTACTATCGACAGCAGTCAATATTTTTATGCCAAGAGCTAGCTTTATGAAAATTATTTCGGAAATCCATTCATAAAAGTGAATCGTGTTGCCCGAAATCTGTCATGCTAGGTGAAAGTTTATAAAGATATGACAAATGAGGCATGGCAAATCGGATAAAATTGTATCATGTACAATTTGAGAGCCAGAAACTAAAAAATAAACATATAATATACCTTAATGCCATTTGGGGGCGTAGTTAAGAGTATTCTACATTCGATAACACCCGACTAAAACGCATTTATCTTCTGTTCATGTGCATAATAATTAAAGGCGATTAAGCTTAAAGCAAACAAATTGGAACTTTTTAAAGCAATATTTTGATAGCACTTGACAATAGTTTTCTAGCTTAAATTTGTGGGCATTTCATTGATACACTTACGCTTGGCTGTCAAGGTCACAGTTTTTGTGTGCTGTATGGCCTTTACCCACTGTGTTACATAATTCACTCGGCTTGCAAACATCCTTGCTATGCGCTCATGGCCACATAATAAATTTGAGGCACTTTTGAGTTGCTTAACTTCTCGTCAACATTATTGTTTACTCTGGCCTCTTAAGCTCTTAAACTATTTAATTGTAGGCAATTAGTTCCATCTGAAGTGAATTAGTTTTACACTGAATTCTCTTGTTCAATTATTAAGTTAGCCTTAAGCCGTTTAGCGCCTTTGATTACCGCTCTAAGGCGATTAAGTGGTTGGTTAGCGTTTGCATAGAAGTCACTGAGCTTGAAAATATTTTCAGATGGTTGTGGCCCCGCCATGCTGCTCATTGACGGACTCTCTGAATTGACTTTGGGGGTAAATCAATTTAGAATACGTCGATGGCACTGTGACGCACGCGACTATTGTTTAAATTGGAAACAGGAACTACAATCTGAAGAGGGGTCAGGTTTGCTCAATGTAAACGGAAAGTTTTTGACGTATATTGATTTCATATTTCATATCGTATTTCGGGATTGATTACTAAATTTCAAAGACAGGCCACGAGTTAGTGAAATTTTCATTAGATGAGACGGACAAGACTTAATTGAGATATAAGAGACCTCGTTGAAGCACTTCAATTGAGAATTAGACTCAAATTCTAGTTCAAATGAGTATTTTAGCTGAAGATATTTTGAAAATCTGAAGAGCAGAAATATTTCCATCTAATAGTTATTTTTAATGTGATGAACCATAACACTTTTTGCGTTACTTCTTTTTATTTTAAATCTGGAAGAGTGTCTACCTTCCTCAACGAGATCCACTGCAAAACTGAAGTCAGACTTATACGACAGCCAATTAACATAAAGCCTTCAAATACAGTCGATAGACACTTAACATGAAAGCAGTCCTCTATCGATATTCAATGCATATAATTAACATTAAAGCTTACATTATGGAAATGCTTCTTGGTTAGCAGACCAATAAGAATGTTTTACCAAGGAATTTCCGACTAGAAGATGCCCTGCACTTCAGTTTCAAGGCCTCGAACAACGCAGAGTTTGCTTGTCGCCATCTTGTTTTCCTGAGTATACACATTTTAAAAAAAGATAGAGCTATCAAAAACATTTATTTATTCTATATTTGTATATACTTAAGATGAATTTATATGCCCAATTTAAGGGGGTCCAAAGGTTATGAGATATTATTATAATTAGCCCCCGTATACCCATAAACTATAGCTTATCACTTGAGTGTGGCGACAGTAATAAATCATATTTGACGGGCAACACTCGGAAAAGTAAACAACTGTAATATTTTTGCAAAAATATTCCTCTTTCAATTGATAAAATTTCCAAAGATATTGTGCCGCAGGGGACAACAGCGGGGGGCCTTCTCACTCGATGTTGCCCTTCAATTGAGCGCATCTCGTCATTGGTCTTGACTGCAGTCAGTCAATGCATCAATTACTGCGGCACATAGTATTCTAATTATACGATCTTTCGCTCTTTATCTCTCTGTGGCGGCGCCTTGATGGATAAGCGATTGTAATGAAAGCGCGTGTTGATAGCGGCAATTGTCTGCTATCAGCAGCTCTTTTTGCGTCCAATTTAAATCCCCCGCTATCAGCATCCATGAGAAACGAAAAGACTTTAATTTGTTTAATTTTTTACTTGTATTATAACGGCAATTAGCATGGTCTATCATGGCGCTAAGTGCACTGGATCTATCCAGTTAAAAGTTCAAATATTTACTCGACACCTGCAAATAAGATTTTCAGCATCTTCAAGTGGAATACTTGCGATACGGTTAACGCCCAACGTCACATTGTCAATTAACAATGGAAATTCAACTTAGAGGTGTGTAAAAAAATGTTACTTTACTCTGGACCAACTTAACAAAAATATCATTCATTGGGTCTATAATATGTTCTTAACAATACTTAATGCCTAATTTGTTCAAGAAAATCATAGAAAGCGCGACGATAATCCATTTTCCATTGATAGTACAGATAAGATGTAAAAAAGTTTTACGTTTTCAAGAATTCAATATTTATAGGAATTATATTTCTTTAAATAACGTGTAAGTCTTGCGGAAAGTTTTCATTCTTAAATTTAGAGTAATTTTAAATATTTTAATAAAAGTATTTCCTATCGTTAGTTAGAGTCCTTTATCAACTTTCGCTTATGCCCCTATCTGACAAACCATAATATCATCATTATATGTGAATATTCGATATCTCAGTGGTTCCTCGATATCTCAGGCTTGGCTTTCACTCCCATTACTTGCAGCTGAAAATGTGATTACAATTGGAATCTGATATACTTATACATACTTACATATTTATGTATGTATATGCTTAAGCACACAAAGAGCGAGAGAATGAATTTGTTGTACTTTTGGCTCTGCGTGATTTTAGCACATTTTCTTATTGTTTGGCATTTTTTTTATTGATTGGTTTGCCTTTTGGTGCTCTCTGTGCAAAGATCCGCTTTAAATGTGGAAGTTTTCATGCTAAGTGAATTTACTGGGTTTTAACCAGTTTAAGTTGGTTATTGCGGCAGGTCGGTCGATAGGCTATTGCCCATAGATAAGCGATTCGATTAGGATAGGTTAGGTAGGAAGCGTGCTTGAAATATAAATGAAGTGATTTAGCTGTTAGGAATTTTTGTGGATGTACATTGAGTGAAGTTACATTCATTATGAATTCAAGGATTCAAGGAATTTCTGGCTGACGTTGTTGAGCTAACTAATGTCCTTAATATATAATGTACATGTACATACATATATATCTATATGTATATTGTATATGTGTATTTGTAGAAGGACCCACGAGTCGCTTAAGCAAACTCGTTTGACATTTTGTTTAATCTTCTACTTACAGACACTCGCCAAATTGAGCTCAACTAGGCGGCAAGAAACGGTATAGCAAAGAACAACAGAAACACACCCACAACCACACCCACACACGCACACATACACACATAGTGTATATTATGCCCGCAGAAATCAATAACTCTGCCGTATACCGAGTTCAAGTCGTAAACAACATAAATCAACAACAAAAGGCCGGAGCATGAGTGGCCGGACGGAAAAGGATTACGACAGTGCGACGCCAGCGTTGCAGCAACAAATGAACCTCGCCCGCCGCGCCTGCTGGAGCAGCTGCACAAGCACAGCAGCTCCTACCACACCCACTCCCACTCCCACTCCCGCTCGCAGCGCCGACTCCAATTCCAATTCCAGTTATCGCCTTGGTGCTATAAAAACTCAATTGCGCGAGAGAACCGCTTGCCAGGCAGTGAATCGAATGGCTCGAAATCAAAGCGTGCACCACTTGGCTGCACCGCCAGCAGTCGCACCACCGTGTGAGCAGCCATCAGCAGCCACAAAAATGTGTAAATACCGTGACAGCGGCAGCTGGCAGCGGCAACTGTTGCTCCTGTTATGCGGCATTTGTTTGCTCTTGGGCGGCATCGAGGCGCGTCCCAATATGAGTGCAGCCAGCAGCTCCAGTTCCAGTTCCAGTTCCAGCTCCAGCTCCAGCTCCACAATTAAGCCGGCGGATGCTATCCCACAGCTAAACGTAAGTTTGATTACTGTTTTGATAAGTTTGGGGTTGTCATAGAATATCGAACTGTCATTA